CAGGCATGAGAGCTCCTCCCTCATGAATGAGATTAGTTGCTCCTATAAAAAGGCTTGATGGAGAGAGTTCATCCTTTTTTGACCTTTTGTCTTCTGCTGTGTGAAGATACAGCATTCATCTTCTCCAGAGGATGCAGCATTCCAGGCGCCATCTTGGATACAGAGACTGAACCGTCACTGGGCAATGAAACTGCTGGTGCCTTATCTTGGACTCCACAGCCTCTAGAACTATGAGAAATAAATTTCTGGTCTTTAAAAATTATGCAGTCTGTGGTCTGTGGTATTTTGTTATGGCAGCACAAATAGACTGAGTTACCCAGCATCTGTAAATGTCAGCTTCTTTGAAAATACTTTTTGGCAGATGTAATCAAGTAAAAGTGAGGTCATACTGGATTAAGTCGAGCCCTAATCTCATGACAGGTGCCTTTATTAAAAAGAGAAAAAGAGAAAGAAAATAAAAGGCCAGCGCGGTGGCTCACACCTGTAATCCCAGCACTTGAGGAGGCCAAGGCAGGCAAATCACCAGATCAGGAGATCGAGACCGTCCTGGCTAACGTGGTGAAACCCTGTGTCTACTAAAAATACAAAACATTATCCGGGCATGGTGGGATGTGCCTGTAGTCCCAGCTACTCTAGGGGGTGAGGCAGGATAATCGCTTGAACCTGGGAAGTGGAGGTTGCAGTGAGCCGAGATCACGCCACTGCACTCCAGCCTGGGTGACAGAGGGAAACTCCGTCTCAAAAATAAAAGGAGAGAGAGATTTGGACAGAGGTACAGAGGAGAAGATACAGGAAAGAAGGTCATGTGAAAAAATGGCAAAGATTGGAGTGATGCATATAAAAGCCAAAGAATGCCAAGGATTGCCAAAGATTGCCAAGGATTGCCAAAGATTGCCAAGGATTGCCAAAGATAGGAAGAGACAAAGAGATTCTTCCCCAGAGCCTTGATAGGTAGCATGGCCCTGTCAAAAACCTGGTTTCAAACTTCTGGCCTCCTGACTATGGAAGAGCAAATTTCTATTGTTTTCAGCCATAAAGTTTGTGGTAATTTGGCATGGCAGCTGCAGGAAACATACCATCTATCCAGGTCACCTCTTCGTCTGCTTCTAAACATTCACTCTTCATACAGACAGAGGTCTCTTCCCTGTCTCCATCTTCCAATTCATTACTACACTGTTTGTCCTTTCCTTTCTCTCTAAGTAGCAAAGCATAGCCGTGTGCACAGCTATAAACTGTCGCTGAGTTATAACCGGCTTCTTCCAGTGTTCTGCTAGGCAGGGCACTTGTCCCAAGTGCTGAGTCAGAGTTCACTTGGTACAAAGAGGCATTTCATACATTTGTTAACGAAAATAAAGAGTGAACAGATATTAACGTTTTTTAGCAAGTGCTTAGAGTTATAAGCAGAATTACTTATCACGTTGTTTATTGAAAAAATTGTTTCTGTGAGACAGCAATTTATAGAAACAGATCTGCAAAGCTATGGAAATCCTTCCTTAGTGACCTACCACCTATCTGTCATAAATTGCATGAATTACAGTTGCTGTAATTAACCAGACCAAAAATGACTTCCAAATGGTAATTCAATAACCTAGAGCTCTTCCTTGTTGTCATTTTGATGGTTGGAACAGTATATGAAAATAGAAAAGCTCCTTCAGAAATTACAGAGATCATCTATCTTCTTCTAGAAAATACCATCTATGGTAACATGTGAAAAATAAATACAATTTTTAGAACAATTATAGGGATGAGACAGTTTATAGTACATATTAATCAGACAGTTTCGAGTATAAATCATGCCACAGATTTGAAAGACGGTATCTGAAATGCAGAAAGTGATTGTTCTGTGATGGCTGATCTACAGCTGGAGCCTGGAAACGGTGGTGTGTGCCACACCTTAGCAGACAACCTGGAAGGAATTCACAGCAGTGAGTAGCTTGAGGAACCACAGAGGAATGCAGCGATGTTTTGCTGAAGAACAGATGTCTCAGAAGAAACTCAATTTCATTCACGTATAGGAAAGATGTTTCTAAAAAGTAATCATGCTTACTTCTTTGTACCCTAAATAGAAAAGCTAAACCAATAAATGAAAGATAAAGATAAGTTTTGAATTATCATAAGAGAGATTCCTAAAAATAAGATTCATAAGTGTGAATTCTCCCTGGAAATGTTCATGCAACGCCCTGTAACTTCTCAGCAAGAGCATCTTATTTATCTCTGTGGTCATCGTGCATAGCACAGTTCCAACATATAATGACTGATCAGTATATATCTGATAAATAAAGTGAAACTCAAGAAACGGACAGTAGTTCAAATTAAATGTTTCCTTCCAAACCTAGGATTCCAATATTTTAGCATTCCAAAATAAGCCCAACTGTGAGTCACTAATTTTTCCTTTCAATGTGTCACGTAGTCATCATTTTCTTTATACTGGATGTTCACTCCTCAGGAAATTAAAGACGGATCCCAAACATCTTATTAGGAACATTTTAGGTAGTACCACGCAGCAATTATGTGCAAAATATGAAACACTTAATAAACTTCAAAGGCTCGTATTTACACATGTACTATCAATCTAAAATTCCCCTTATTCAAGACAAAAACGAGCAACAATTTATCAAACCTTTATCGCAGACATTATGCTTAGTGCTTTAATATTCATTCCAAAGTATTTATTGAACACCGACTGTGCACCATACACATCTAATATTTATAAGCAATTGAGCAAGGTAGATAGTAATATCTCCACATGAAAGCCAGAGGAGTTATGTGACTTGTCCACGTTCAGGCCACCACAAGTCCATACACAGCCTTTGTGCAAATTTTAAAAACAACGTACCTCTTCATCAAGTTTTATTCCATCTGTAATAATATTGGCCATTACTGACTTTATTAAAGCACGAAACTTTACGGCTGATAAAATTATCTTAATAAATATTCAAATGTATCATGTTTATAAGTAGTGTGCACTTTAGATGTGTTTCTTTGTACAGTGCACAATCCACTCAACAGTAAATGACAATCCTGTGTGAGCAATCCTGTAAGGACAGAACCAGAAATTTCACCCCAAAGTACCACCATTTACTCCCCCCCTAAATGAGAATGATCAGTAATTTCACATAAATTCTGGCTGCATAAGACTACTGTCTCCATTCAGCACTGTTTGATATTCAAAGTACTCATAACATATATTTATGTGGATATAAACCCACTGAATACATAAAAAGCTGGATGGCTGGGAAGGGTTTCTCAGAGAAATCCTCATCAGCCTCTCCACACAAGAACCGCGTCTTCCAAGCCTGATTTTACCTACCGAGAAACTGAAAAATATTCTTAAGATTAGGATAAAATAGTTGTTCTCATAAATATCACTCCAATAACTCACTAAATCTTTCGCTGTGATGTTAAAGTGGTTCTGGTCAATATTCAGTCAAATCATGGACGATATTCAGATAACAGGGTTTTTTTAGGAAATCACGTTGCCTTTTTCTAGAGATGGTATTTCAGAGTGTGAAATGGCCTTAACACCCAATGAGAATAAAAACGTCCTTAGATAGAGCAGTCCATGTGCACACGATGCTCCACTCATGCAAGCCGCCCTTTTTGGGTTTCTGTTGTGTTGGAGGTTTTGTGTTAGGTGTTGAAGACACGGTAACAATTAGATTGACCCAGACCATGCTCTGCTCTCATTCCAGATGACAGAATTAACGTCAGAAAAGAAAAATGCAGTCAGTGCTACAACAGAGATCTAGACAAAGGGTAGCAGGCTCACCTGGTGGATCCCTGCTTTGTCCCCCACACAGAATTTCTTGGAATTTAGGTAAATAGAGCTCACAATAATGTAAGTAAGCTTTAAAACCAATCCCTACCTGAAAAACCAATCCCTACCGTCACATTTGGCTCATAGTAAATGTATAATAGATGTGAAATGAATAAACAAATGAACTTCCCAGCTTACAAATTAGACTTGGGCTATAAGCAAATATCCACATCAATTATAAAAGACGTGCTCATGAATACAAAATATTTTTAAATTACTCAAAAGCCTACAGCAGTTCGAATTGAGGAAAGATGCAATTTAAATACAAACCTCATACTGACCAACTTAAAAGATACATAAATTATTTGTGAGGTCTAGTTGGGCTATTTAATCACATATTTTCAGCATCTCCGTAAGACAGTTTTTTTCAGACATGTGGACTTTTTTCTTATTCCTAAATCTCAACCATATTATCTATCTGTCTTTGCAAGGAAGATCAATTAGGAGGAGCTCTAACATTTTCCATTGGTTTTCAGCAATACAACAGAGATAACCAGGCTTAAACAAGACGTAGGGGGCCCGGGGATAGAGAAAGGCTGATTATTTGCTGTATGTGTAGAGGAAATCTACACTTATGAATTCCAACTTTTCAGGTGGATAATTTGAGATGAAGGTTTGTTCTTTGAACATTTGTAATCATTCTAGCCTGCCTCCGAAGACTCCCAAGAGACATTTTACTGAAATAGAAGTAAAATGCTAAATACTCACCTTTTCCTCTCATTCTGTGTTTTGACCTTTTTTAAATTTTCATCTCACATTCTATTATAAATAACCTGAGGAGAGGAACGTAGTCGGTGCAGTTCTCTCTAATCAGCCCCTATTCCAACACTCTGTGTGATGAAACACTCACAAAATATTTCCTAGTGATTGAATTAGACAGCAAACTACTGTCTAATTGAAACAAAACTCAAAAGTTGGGACCTTTTTTTAACATACTTTATGCAACATCTGATGTGATGTGAAGGAGAATCACAAAATAGGAGAATTAAAAGAGGCCTTGAAACTGTTTTGTTGTTATCAACAATGTTAACCCTGTGAACTTCCTTCATCAAAATTTCTACCACTACCATGTAACAGAAAAGAGTTTCAAACTTTGTATGAGGAGTTCCTGGAACTATAGAAGGGGAGGAAAAGAGAATACAAATACAACTTCATAGTACACAACACACTTGCAGAGAAGATCCACGTCTCAGTAATTTAATGAAATTTTGGAACCACATTGGCCTACAATTTTGTTAGATATTAGTATTCAGTACAGTTTAAAACAATAGGAGCAGACAATTTGGGTTAACAGTTAAGAAGGTGGCCAGGCGCAGTGGCTCACGTCTATAATGCCAGAACTTTGAGAGCCGAGGTGGGCAGATCACAAGGGCAGGAGTTCCAGACCAGCCTGACTAACATGGTGAAACCCTGTTTCTACCAAACATACAAAAATTAGCCAGGTGTGGTGGCGTGCGTCTGTAATCCCAACTACTCAGGAAGCTGAGGCAGGGAATTGCTTGAACCCGAGAGGTGGAGGTTGCAGTGAGCCAAGAGTGCACTCTAGCACTCCAGCCTGAGTGACAGAGTGAGACTCCATCAAAAAAAAAGACAAACATAAAAACAGTTAAGAAGGCAAAACCAGGTTTCAGTTAACTGTGAACTTTTTAATAGTGAAACACTGGTAAGTTAGTTGCTGATTCCAAAAAAAAAAAAATGTTTAAATTTCTTTTTGAAAAACAGGCCTGATATTCATCTATTCTCTGGGATTGGTAAAAGATGCACGTTTCCACCCTATCTTTGGTAGGTTGCTGTACACAGAGCTGATGAGGAACTACACAAAGGGAAATGTTAAAAAGTTGCTACTTCTCAGCAACATAAGAAAACCATTAAAGAGAACATCTCTGCACCTACTTACAGGTGAAATCTTTGTGTCCTAACGTTTTTCATGAACAGACTTTCTAATCGCCCCTAACAGTCTGAATACAAACAAGTATTTCCAATTCTTCCTTTAGGAATACATAAATCTCCTCCAACTACACTTCTCTCCTTTCCTGAAATCAAACATACATCTGTCTTACATAGGAGCAGCATAATGCTAGGCAATTAGTGTGTTGGTGTTCATGCAACAGAGATTCATTGCAACTATATGCAAACTTTATACTATGACCTGGAGTCCTATGGATTGAGCAAAATTGCATAAACAGAATAGCCAGTATTCTTGATTTGAAATTTAAGTACCAACACAAATAAAATGAAATAGCAAACAGAAGGGAGAAATGGGAGGGGATATGAATGTAATGGGGGGGGGAAGGGGATAGAATAAACGGATAGAATAAAAGGCAATGGGGAGATGACTTTCCTACTCTTGCCTGCACCTCATTTTACATGATTATCATGGTATGGTTCTACATTTTTCTAAATTACTATAAATGTCTTAAAGACATAGCCTGTCCTATGTTTCTCCACATCTTTAGCACTGCCCAAGTGGAGAATATAAGTCTGAGAAAATAAATATTAATATGTGATGTGGGAATTCAAGATGAGATTTGGGTGGGGACCCAGTGGGAAGTAACTGAATCATGGGAGAAAGTTTTTCCCCTGCTGTTCTCATGATAGTGAATAAGTTTCACAAGATCTGATGGTCTGTACCCACATTGTATCTAGGAAGTAACTAACTTGCTTTTGATTTTACAGGCTCATAGGCAGAAGGGACTTGCCTTGTCTCAGATGAGGCTTTGGACTGTGGACTTTCGAGGTAAGGCTGAAATGAGTTAAGACTTTGGGTGACTGCTGAATAGGCATGATTGATTTTGAAATGTGAGGACATGAGATTTGGGAGGAGTCAGGGAGAAATGATATGGTTTGGCTCTGTCCCTACCCAAATCTCATCTTTAATTCTCATGTGTTGTGGGAGGGACCCAGTGGGAGGTCACTGAATCATGGGGGCAGGTCTTTCTAGTTCTCATGATAGTGAATAAGTTTCATAAGATCTGATGGCTTTAAAAAAAGGAATTCCCCTGCACAAGCTGTCTCTCTTTGCCTGCTGCCCTCCATATAAGACATGACTTGCTCTTCCTTGCCTTCTGTCATGATGGTGAAGCTTCCCCAGCCACGTGGAAGTGTAAGTCCAATTAAACTTTTCTTTTGTAAGTTGCCCAGTCTCAGGTATATCTTTATTAGCAGCATGAAAACTTACTAATACAATACGTTATGCAAGAGAAATAGAAAATGATAGTACTAAACGCAATGCTATGAAGATAACGACCCCAAGCATTAAGGAAACAGGTTATTGTTACCTGAAATAAACCATGTAAATGTTTGCTCAAAGTTTTGTTTCTTGAAATCTATCATTGTGCCTTTAAAGTAGGAACTTCGGAAATTTTAGAAGCGACACTCCTATAGTATTTATAGCACAAACTACAGCTTTCAAGAGTGGTTCGGACTGGATTTCTAAGTTTATCATAACAAGGATATGTTTAATTTTCTAAATATTGAAAGTTTCTTCTCCAATCGTCTTCCTCATGGAGAAAGAGTCCCAGCAAAAAAAAAAAAAAAAAAAAAAAAAATGCTTACGCAAGGCCCCAAGCTTCTAACTACTTTGACTGAGTGACAGGATACGCTGGCACCTTATTACTCAATCCCAAGGTGGCATGCAGGAACCAGCAACCCACAGAGGTCTAAAACCTGGAACATACAATATCCAACTCAAATGCTCACACGTCCGCGTTTCCACATGGGCTGACTTACATCCAGGAGATAGCTCCTGAGCTCTTTTACAAATTGCAGAGTAGGCCAGGAAATCGGCTCCAAAGATGATGTGCCTCTGCTCTGCTTCAGAGGCCCCAACTCACAGTCTAACAGTTCTGAGAGGTTTCCGTGATCAGATCCAGGAACAGGAGCCAGAGGAGCTGAGGCTCACAAATGACCCATCCGGGCTTTTTCCTGGAGCCCGTTTCTGCCCGACCCCCCTGAGGAATGTAAACGATCTGTTCAGCTTTACCCTCGAGGATGTAAATAATTAATTGCCCCTTTCTTCTTGCACATTTTGCCTTCTAATTTCTCTATCCACTCACTGCTCTCTCTTTACCGGTTTATCTCTAAACTATCACAATTGCCTTCTGCTCTGCTCCCCCTCAGAAACTTAAAAACGAAACCGTATTCATTAGCCAAATAACTGGATTAGATTCCTCTTCAACGTGTTCGAGAGTAGAAAAGTTGCTCTGTAATTTCTTTGATAGTCAGCCTTTTAGGAAGCAATTCCTTAAATCACTCTGTTTAAATCTTTGAACTAAGTACCTTTCTTTGATAGCACGCTAACCTCGCACTAAAACCTGTGCAAAGTTAGGAAGACTTTCATTTCTGTGGTCAGTGCTTCCAGATGAGCAGCAGGGGGCAGCAGGACACCAAGAATCGAAGAAATTGTCCTGGGCTGACAAACACTGTTGAATTACTGCAGTGGGTCTGTGTACTCGCGATGATCTCAGCTCTCAGATGAAGTCTTTTGTTTTGTGTCCTATTTTACAACGCATCGTTCAGTTTTCTACAGGAGTTGTGGCTTAGTCACAGTATTTCACTGTGACAGCCTAGCTTAAGAAAAAGAAAGGTGAAGGAGAAAAAAAAAAGGAGGAAAAGAGAAAGAGAACATGTAAATGCTTCCAAATAAAACACATCATGACAGGAAAAAGTAATCCTGTGTATACATATAAAGTTTGTCCCTTCTCTGTTCCCATCCTGGACACAGTTTTTCTAGATTACAAACTGAATTCATCCCTATTCCTCCCTAATACACACACATACACCTACACATACACGTATACATTTGCCATATAGTTTTCTGTCAAAACAGATTTTTTTATAAAGAAAAACAACACAAAAGACTTTTAAAACACATTTTTTCAAAAATTCAAAGAAAATCTGTCATTTTCTGTCAACTTTAATCAAGCTTCTGAATATAGAATTTTATTTTAGTGTTTTCATGCTTTTTGAACATGTATTAGTCAAAATACCTTTCATTAATATGAATGTTGCAATAAAATTCTTCCTCTGTAAATGTACGGCTTCAGATAAATAGCTAAAAGCTATAGTTGTTATCTATGTCTGTTATGTTTGGAGACAGAATATGAAGTACCAACTGAAATATGAGAAACTTGAAGAATATATTCAAGGATTGTTGCAATAGTACAGGTTGGGAAAGGTGCTTAGTAATCCATCCCTCAAAGTTAGCAAATATGAAACTACTTTCATGCATAATTTGAGTTGTACCCAAAATATCATACCCGTAACCCCAGCTTCCTCTCCTACCTAGGCTGGGATTCCCAGGGTTATTAATGTGTTCTCATAGGGTTATTAATTTATTACTGTGGTAGGGAAGATGTATTATTTCAACATCTGGGACCAAATTCCTCTGGAAGGAGGGATTCTTTGCTCCCACCCTAAGGCTGACAGGGCCCTATCTGATTCTGTTGGCATGTGGGCTCTGGCCTTATCTCCTACTATCTCTTCTTCTGCTTACCAACTCTGATCACACCCGCTCGCTTGCTGTTCCTTAGAGCGCACTAGGTACTCTCTGCCTCAGGGCTCTGGCCCTAGCTGTCCTCTGTCCAGAACAATCTTACCTCATTTATCCACATGATTCATTCCTTTGCCTTTTTCAAGTGTTTGTGCAAAAATCACTTTCTCCATGAGGCCTTCCCTGACCACCTATTTAAAACAGAATATTCTCCCCAGCATTTTTTATGCCCCCTTTCCCCTTTATTTTTCTCAATAGCACTTATCACCATCAAATATGCTACATATTACACAGGTAAATATAACACAGGAGGTAACTGAAACCAAACACATCAGCCAACAGAGGGCTCAGACTCAATATGAAAATAACAGAAAAATAGGTGGATTTCAAAGGAAAACACAACTCTATGTTGTATATAAAAGACAAAAACCCACCTAAAACGAAACAATTCAGAAATGCTAACGATGAAAGGATGGATAAAGGTATACTAAGAAAATGCAAATTAAAAAAAGAAAGAATTGAGATTCTGAAATTCAATAAAATAAAATTCAGACCAAAAACCATTACTGAGACAAAGAATATCTTATAGTCCTAAAGGCTACAATTCACAGTGAAAATAAAAGATTGATGAAAAGATACACAGTGAATAACACAGCCGCTACTTTCATACAGTGGGAATTACAAGAGATTTCAAGAGAAATCAAAATACACAAACAATAGTAGACTATGGTACATTTCTCTTACTTAGACAAAAATGTACAGAAACACTTATGAAAATTGACTCCAACTTACAATACAGACAAGTGCCTCAACAAATTACATAAAAATAATACAAATATTCATCATAATAATATAAAACTAGAAATTTATCATCAAAACATAAGAAAGTCCCATCTTGAAATTTAAAATTTTTCTATCAAACATAGCTTGTCTCAAAGGGAAACACCAATTGATATTGAGAATTTCTAGAAAAAAATGAAAACATGACATTAGAATTGACAAAATGCAGCTAAAGAGTGTTCAGAACAAAACTGATAGATTGAAATAAACATGAAATATGACTTAGATATTTCACTCAAAAGGAAAAAGTTCAATATACTTAAGCTTCTTTCTCATTTTAGATTTCATTTTCTTCTTAATTGAGAAAACTAGATTTTTTTTTTTTTTTTTTTTTTTTTTTGAGATGGAGTCTCCCTCTGTCACCCAGGCTGGAGCTGGAGCACAGTGGCACAACTGGCCAGTTTCGTCTCTACCTCTTGACCTTGAATGATCCACCTGCCTCAGCTTCCCAAAGTGTTGGGATCACAGGTGTGAGCCACCGCACCCAGCAAGCAAACTAGATTTTAAAACAACATGAGATAAATAAGCCTACTGCATTTAACACTTTTACTAAGAGTTGTAATACTGGTAGATTTTGGAAACTATTACACATATTATGGAGAAAATAAATCATTCTGTTAGCATCATTAAAGAGCCATGATTTTCAGCACAGAGAAAACGAGATGCAATATAACATCAAATAAGTAAAAACCTTATAACCTTTCATTAGAATGAGAATATCATCACAAATTTATGATTTATTTTCATCTTTCTTTGAAAAACTACATGTTTTCTAGATCTTGTTTTGAAGAGTCTGGGAAATAATGATAAGCCATTTATCCATGAACATCTTTAAGTACAGAGTGTAGCAACCAAATCCCGTTTTCACTGGAAGCAATGAGGACACCTTTGAGAAATGGCTGGTTCTAGGTCTGAGGCAGTAAATGTACAGTACGAGACCGGAACTCTTACAGTGTCAGAAAGCGAGTAAGCTATCAAGACATTTGAGCTTATGTCAAGTAAACAAAGGAGCCAAAAATGGCCAACGATGAGCAATTTGAACTTCAAAATGGATAATCACTGCAATTATAGAAAAGTGTAAGCAGAGATGCAAATAGAATCAACATGAAACTCCCAGAAGCAACAGGAGATTCGATATGGTAGTGAGATAAACAAAATTAGACATAGAAATCATACCTTCACTTAATAAGCATCTAGCAGTTACAAGGAAAAGTGGAAGAGATGATCCCACTTATGATACTGACAAAAAAGAGAAATCCTGTAAGAATAAACTTAAGCGAAAAACCTCTATGATGCATTCTTGAAAGACACGAAGCTGAAACTTGAGCAAGAGAAAAAATAAACCTTGCTCTTCAAAAGGAAAATGCAACATCATAAATTGAAAAGATATGCAGGTTTTTTTAAAGAAAGTATTTTTATGGAGCTATATTCTATAGTTTACGTGAAAAAATAACCAAGAATATAAAAAATAAACACTTAAAAAATCAGCAACGACGCAGCCTAGCCCTACCAGATACTGAAATATGGTCTCTGTAATAAAAACACTATAATATTAGCCCATAAGTAGACAATAAAGTCAATGGGGGAAAAAACAGAAAATATATCTTAGACCTAACCACAATGTGGAAATTTATGTATGGGATAAAAAAATTTCAAATCGCTGGTGGTGGGTGCTTTACAAATTACATGTTATGACAGCTAAAAAGTCATTTGAAAATAGATACAATGGGATACATCACCTCGGTAGAATTCCTGCATATGTTTGTGCGCTCATATAGATGTATCGTGAATCTTATAATGAGGAACCAATCTGACATCTCCAAATTGAAGGATATTCTGGAAGACCACTGGGCTAGACTTTTCAAAAATGGCAACGCCAGGAGAAACAGAAAAGGCGAGGGAACGGTTCTGTATTGAAGCAAGTGAGAGAGACTTGACAACTGTAATATGTGATTCTTGTTGATGCACTATGTGATTCTTGTTAAATATCCAATTTCCATTTTACAAACTATAGGGTAAAGAAGGACATTTGGGGGACAATTGAGGAAATTCAAATATGAAACATATCGTATTACTGTAGTCTAACAATGTTACATTTCCTAAGAATGATGATCCTGTGGTCCTCAACTGAGACCATTTCGCTCCTCTCCTTGTCCTCCAACCCCTCACCAGCACCCCTCCGCACCCTCACCCCCCAACCACCACCACGCCGTTTGGGCCTGGCAGTGTCTGGAGGCATCATTGGCTGCCACAATTGGGGGAGGGGGTTGCTACTGTCATCTAATGGGTAGAAAAGCCAGGGATGCTGCCCAACAGTGATTGCTCAGCACGGGACATCCCCGCCCCACCCCGTCACCCCCACCATACGGACAAAGACAGCAGAGACTCATCCTGCCGAAAACGTCAACAGCGCAGGGTTGAGAAACCCTGATGGGAAACGATCCCTTATTCTTAGGAGATACATACTGAGACATCAGGCGGAATCACATGACACTGTCTCTTGCGTAGGTCAAGTATCGGCAATATTTAAGGACGAAGGGTTATGACGTTCACCACAAACTCTCAAAACAATGAACAAACGCTTCCCGCGCCCTAGGGAACCCGAGAGGGGCGCACTCGCCCAGCGCGCAGAGGCCAAGGCCGAGCCTGCGCCGTGGGAGGCGCCGAGAGCGCACTGCGCACGCGCGGGGCGGCCGGCCGCACCCACTCAGCGCGGCTCCCGAGGTTACAGACAGCCTGGCCCCAGTCGCGCGCTGCGTTGCCCCGGCCCCGCGCAGAGAGGAGGAAAGAACACTCTGCGGGGGCTCTGCTGGCTTCTTCGCGAGTGACAGCGATGCTTTCCCAGATGGAAGCCCGGAGCCCTGCTCCTTTGCGATCCGCCGAGGGCTGCAGGGAGCCTCCTCGTCCATTTGGCCATCCCTTTCCAGCCTGGATCCTTCAGGCGTGAATTTTCTTCTGTGGATTCCGATTTGCTCGGTCTGACCAGCCTGGGCAGTACAGCATCGCGTGGAACCAGTGCCGCTGGGCACGCTAGCTTCACGCCGGCTCCGCCTCGCCAGCAAGCGCGTTCCCAGGTAAAAATTTTAAATACCTTAGCATTCTTCTGCCTAGAGTCTCTAATCAAGAAGCTGACCCACTTTTTCTGGAAGGATCTAGAAAGCCAAAACTCTAGAATTCGGGACTGGAACTGTCTCTCTCGCGTGTTCGCCTTTGTTTTGACAGTCTTTGTTTTGAGAATGTAAAAACCACTCTTAGCTGCTGGATGTTGCAAAAATGAAATCCTGTAGACTGCGATGATTAGAACCTAATCACTAACTTCACCCAGCACAGAGGCCAAAGCCCCAGTGAGTCCTCCACCCCTTCCTCGGCCCGAGCACAGTTTTGCAGTTAGGACCCAGGTTTTGTGAGGACTGGGACCCACCCAGGTTTAGTTCACAGTCTCTTGAATCCCTCCCTGCATCTGCACCTCTGCTCCTCCTCCTCCTAGGCCAGTGGCCCGTGGTGAGTTCTTGGCGGTCTCTGAGGCCACCAGGAAACCCTCAGACTAACTGCCACGCCCACCTTTGCTCTAAAATGACAAGCGCTTTTCATCTGGGAGCAAAAGCTGAAATCCCCACATTTGGACTAAATTAGTTTAGTGTAAAAGTAATACAAGATTGTCTCAGACAATTGTATTTTAATAGTATTTTTTCTAGTGATGAATGTAATATATGTCTACCATGGTCATTTGGAAAATACTTAGATGTATATAGGAGAAAACAAATTCTCCAAAACCCCAACCCGCAAATAATAACTTTTGAAATGCTTGTGCAATTTTTAATTCTTTTTTTAATGCATATTGTAGGACAACTTACTGAACAATTTGATTTTTAAAAATATTTTAATAAACTTTTGTTGAAGTACAGCATACAGAAAAGTGTACAAATTATAAATACAGTTCAGTAAACTTTCAAAGATTAACACAGACATCCCCTAGCAACCACCACCCAGCTCAAGAAATAAACTAATAGTAGCATTCTTCATCCCCCTGTTAATCGTGTCTGTTTCGACATTTCACATGAAATGAATTACTTGGTAAATATTTTATAGTATTTGGTTTCTTTCACTTTGTATTATATTTGAATTCATCCCTATTGTTGCATGTAACGGGTCTTTTTAAAAATCTTATTCTATGCTGTATGAAATTCAGTTATATGAGTATACACAGTTTATTCTTTCTACTGTTTTTTTCTTAATTACAGATTTATTGAGATATAGTTCACACACCATACAGTTCATCCACTTAAAGTGCGCAATTCAAGTTGTACAATTCAATGCTTTCAGCATATTCACAGATACGTGCAACCATCACCACAATGTTAGAAAATTTTCATCACCGGGAAACTTCATACTCTTTAGCTATCACTCCCCAACCCCAGTTCCCTGTCCTTTGCAGCCCCAAGCCACCACGAGTTTTTCTGCTCTATAGATTTGCCTATTCTGGAAATGTCACAAAAATGGAATCATATAATATGAGGTCTTTTGTGACTGGTACTTTATCTCATATTGGACATTCAGCTTCTTTCCAGGTTTGGAGCTATTACAGATGATACTTCCATGAACATTAGTCTGTGAGTCCGTTCACACAGATAAACCTTCCTATTGGGATACATATCTAAGGTATGCATATAACCAGCTGTAGTGACAGTGCCAAGCAGTTTTTCAAATTTCCGGACCCACCAGCACTGTATGATGAGAGTTCTGGTTGTTCCACATCCTCTCCAACATTTGGGGTTTATATGGTTTTAATTTACACTTCTCTGATGAGTAAAGATAAAAAGCTTCTTTGATGTGATTATTGGCCACTTGGATATCCTCTTTAGGAAAGTGCCTTTCAGGCACTGACCCATTTTTCTATTGAGTAGTTTTCTACTTGATGTGTATTCTGGATGAGTGCTACAAACAAACACCTTTTCCTAATGAAAGGCTTGCATTTTAACTCTCTCATTGTTAGATTTTGATAAATGATCTTGCATTTTTATTGAAGTCTAATTTATCGCTCTTGTTCATCATTAGTGGTTTTGCTACCCTGTAAGAAATCATTGCCTACCCTAAGGTGACAAGGGCATTCTCTTATGTTACCGTCTGGAAGCTTAGGTTTTTTCTTTGAACATTTAGATGTACTAACTACCTACAGTTACTTTTGACGTACAGTGTGAAGGGAGGACTAATTTTTTTTCATGTAGCTATCCAACTGACCTAAGTATTTTTTGGAAAAGAAAATCCTTTCCCCACTACTCTGCAACATCACCTTTGTCATAAATCAATGGGAACAGAACTACAGATGTTAGAAGCTGTAGACAAGGAATTTAAAATATATTTATGGTTAATTTACATTATTAAAGAGTCTTACAAAGGGTAGATATGATAAGTGAAAACAGGAATTTCAAGAGAAATACAACTAATTGAAGAAGAACAAAATGGAACCCCTAGAACTAAAAAATATAATAACTGAAATTATTTTATGAGATTATCCGTAGACTGGACACACGGTAAGGAGAATCAGGAAACTTAAAGATGGGTCAGTAGAGAGCCAGGTACAGTGGCTCACGCCTGTAATCCCAGTGCTTTGGGAAGCCTAGGAGGAAGAATCATTTGAGGCCAGAGGTCAGAAGTTTGAGACAAGCGTGGCCAACATGGTGAAACCCAGTCTCTACTAAAAATACAAAAATTAGCTGAGCATGGTGGAGGCTGAGGCAGGAAACTTGTTTGAACTGGGGAGATGGAGACTGCAGTGAGCCGAAACTGAGCCACTGCACTCCAGCCTGGGCAACAAATTGAGACTCTGTCTCAAAAAAAAAAAAAAAAAAAAAAAAAAGATAGTTTAATAGCAATTACCCAAATTTAAAGTGCACTGAGAAAAAAACATATAATAAACGGGATATCAGTGACTCATGACATAATATCAAGACATCTAACCTACATGAAACTGGATTTTCAGAAGTCAAGAAGAGAAAATGTCAGTCAGAAAAATACTTCAAAAAATATTAGCAGCAGTTCCTTGAATTTGATAAACATATTTATCCAGAATGTTTACTTGTTTAGGGAAGAGTTGATCCCAGTAACCTATTTTGCCATTAATGGAGTTTAGAAGTTAGCATCAAATGTTATCAAGTTTACATCTCCATGAGTGAGCAGCAAGCTATTTTAAAGTCACATCAAATGCAGAAAAAATACTTTGCTGGGTGGCAGGGTCCTGAGCATGGTATTCTTTTAACATAAATGTTGCCTGCCTGCTAATGGCCATTACCACCACCCCAATCATAGTAATGCCACAACTCCTCACAATTTTTCACCATATCCCCTAGGTGCACAGTACGGCCCTGTATCCACTGAGAACCCTTCTCTCCTGTGATCTGCCACCGTCTCTCGGTTCCGTACCTTTCTAACCTCATCTTCTAATGCTCTGGGTATCACACCTCCCTGGCCTGCTTCCCTATCAGGGTTTTGGGAATTGCTTTTCCCTCTTCCAGAATGCTCCTGGCCCCAGATATTTATATAACTGACTCTTCCTCAAGTCTTTGTTCCAATGTCCTTTTTCTTAGTGAAACCTTTAGATTAAATAAACGAAAACAGAAAGCTTGCACATTCTCTTAGCATCTGTATTAGTTTACAGGGCTGCCGTGCGAAAGCACCACAGACCCCATGGCTTAAACCACAGAAATTTATTTTCTTAGCTCTGGAGACTAGAAGTCCAAGATCAAGATGTCAGCAGGTTTGATTTCTCCTGTGGCCTCTCTCTTTGGCTGGCCATTGGCCACCTTCTCTCTGTGTCCTCCCATGGTTTGTCCTGTGTGCATGAGTGCCCCTGGCCTCTCTCTGCATGCCCAAATTTTCTCTTATAAAGACAGCATTTAGATTGGATTAGAACCCATCCAAAGGCCTTTTTTTTTAACTTATCGCCTCCTTAAAAACCTTATCCACAAATATAGTTACATTATGAGGTACTAGGGGTTAGGCCTTCAACATCTGAATTTTGGGGGTATGTAGTTCAGGCTGTACACCATCTCATGTTCTTTTTCATCTGTAGCTGCTATTTTGAATTCAATGTATTGTAATGATTTACTTGGTTTGTTGTCTTAACTTTCTGTTCCACTGGAATACAGGTTCAATAAGAGAGGGATTTTAATCAATGTTGTTCTCTGAAGTGTCTTCAGAACCAAATGGGAAAAAATTATCATTGTTAACATTTTCACTTAGTTCTAGCATATGGGCAACCTTAATGTATTTCTAATAACTCCCTATCTCCTTCAGAGCATTCCTTCATTCATTCATGAATGAAGAAAGCCCTGAGAGCTTTCCAGTAATTCATGTTTCTTTAATGTTTGAGTTTCTTAATGAATTATAGCACTAAAAGATCCAGTATCTTTGTTTGTTTGTTTAATTTTTATATAGTTAATAGAGACAGGGTCTCGCCATGTTGTCCACGATGGTCTGGAACTCCTGGACTCAAGTGATCCACCATCCTCGGCCTCTCAAAGTGCTAAGATTACAGGCATAAGCCACCATGCCCACCCATGATCCATTTTTTTTTTTAACCAAGGAAAATAAGAAATTTAATATGCTTGTTTCCAGAGCAACAAAAGCTTTACATGATCAAGTAGACGGAGGGCTCTTCCATATTACACAGAAATATCTAGCC